GTAAAAAAACAGACAATACCTATGTTAAACCTGTCCCATAAACGGAACTTATAAAATTTTTTGGTTAACGAAAATGTTATAGAAGAAGGACAATCTTCTATATCACATAAACCTTAAAAATTGTTAATTTTTTATTAAAAATTGTTAATTTACTATTAAAAATTGCTTAGGAATGTATTAAGAATTACAATTTTGTATTCTGTCTTCTTTTTTAATATCAAAATACAGGGATCATAAATTTTCATTCCTCCTGATGATAACGTATTGTATAAATTAGTAGCTTTTATCAACTTAAATTGAATTCTACAGAGGCTCCTCATTTTTTATGTGCATATATGGAGGACGAAGTTTATTATAAAACATAACTTAATAAATGTAAAAAATAAATTAATAAAATATCTTTTATGGTATATAGACTGTTATTTTAAAACATTTTAAGGATAAGCATTGGTTTCCTAAACGCTGTAACATGATATTAATGCAATTTTTATTATATAAAAACTGTTATTATTAATTAAATTGATTTTAAAATTAAAATTCTTTTTATTTCCATAATTTTTTTCTTTTTAATTAAAAAACAGTGTATTTCTGATTTAACATAAAATAAAAAGAACGACACCTTCAAATGTTTTTTTAATATTTTCCAATTTTTTTTGTTAGTATTTCAATATTAACAAATTTTTATGTAGAATCGAACAAAGTTTACTTAAAAAATTTTTTTAAAGGAGCCCAATGGTTTAAACAAAAAAAGCATATATTTCTTTTTTATTTTTTGTTAGTTTATATTTACTTTCATGTTTGTTGTAATTATAAAAATAAAAAATTGTTTTTGAAAAATATATAATTAATTTTAAATTATGTTATATCTGTATACATATATCTATTATATATATATATGTGCAAAATGTGCCATATACATAGCTTTTTTGTAATTATTCCCAATAAATACGTGAAAAAAGAAAATAATAATAAAATAAAGTAGAAATATTTTTTATTTCAATTTTTTAACTACTTATTTTTGTGTATGTAATTTTATGTTTTGGTAATTTTCAATCACTTTATTTTTTTTTATTTAATATGAATTTTCGATTAAATGGTAATTTTTGTACAAAATTTGTTAAATATTAACTCTATAGTTTTTCTGAAATCTGACGATCGCTTACAGTAAACCGATCGTTTTAACAAGAATTATGAACGAGATTTGATCATGAAAAAACTTATACAATTTTTTATTAGAATAATAAATAAATTAAAAACTAAAAATTATATTTTTTTTTTAAACTATGCATTATTTATAATTATCTCACATTTTCGCTTACTTCTATACTAGTTTCTTGCGATTTGGTTGTACTTCGTTAAGAGAAAAATACTTGTGTATGGTCCTCTACCTAAACGCAATTCTAGTTTTGATGTCGGATAAACTATTCAGTAATTTTGTAAATTGGCAGAAACCCTAACATAATAAACATTTTTTTTTGCTAGCTACAATAAACATAATATATTGAATATGAAATTTTATATACAAACATCCTAGAAGAGTTATCGCTGTAAAACTTTAAAAGTGAGGTTTGAATTAGGGTACAGCTTTGAGGTGCTAACTTAAAAAAACCCTTCAGTTTTCTCATTCAAACAACTTTACAACAAAAAATTATTTTTCACCTATATCTTCAACAAAAATAAAAAAAAAAGAAAAATAATTAAGTAAATAGTTAATAAATTAAATTTTCATAACAATAAGATTTTTATGTGCATTTCGATTAAACTTTTTTATTGAACAACAGAAAACTCTGCACAAAAATAATATAATAATCGTTTTTGATATCTAAATTTCGATTTAATTTAAACTTTGTTTTTTTTTTCTTTAGAAAATTTATCTTAAAATTATATATCATCTGCTTATTTGAGAATACTAATTTGAAATTTTTGTTTTTTTTTCTGCAAAAAAAGGTTTTCAATTTTGAATATAACTTTCAAAATAGTTATATTATGAAACAAAATATTTATTTATTACTATTTCTTTTAATTAGTTTTAAATTCTGCTCAGTTTATTACTTTCGTTTCTAGACTATATTCCCTTTTACTACACATGACTGATATTATTAAAAAAAAAAATTTGAAATTTTTTGAAGGAAACCAATTATTGAATTTAAACATTTCAATACTTTTTAATAATATTCCATTAGATCAAGTGATGCGTCTAACAGAATATAGTTGTATATTGCGCTATATTAGAAAGCGCACAAAATACTAAAAATTTTTTTAAAAAAGTTAGAAAAAGGAACATGATAATGTACATATAAGTTTTATGTATATATAATATAAATTTATTTGTCATTTTGGTTTATGCAAACATTATAAAAATATTTCCAAAAAAAAAAAGTTTTAAAAAATACAATATTGAAAAACCAATTTATTATTAAAAACATAAATGTATTGGAATCAGTCCTACAAAACTTTTTATAAAATTGATTTAAGATTTTTTGTTTTTATAGGAACTGAAGGTTCTCTAGATTAATTCTAAAAAAAAATTTTGTACTAGTTTTAAAGTTACTAACTTAGCAAAAAGTTATTTTAAATGAAAATCATTTCAACTAGTTCTAAAATCTTATTTAAGAATTCAAAATTTAAGACTAATTGTTTCAAGAAGAATAATAAATGTAATATGTATTACCATTAAATGAGAAAGAATAAAAATAAAATGAATACTATAAATTAAAAATAATTTTTTTGTACATAATAAATTTTTTTTTTAAACTTGTCATTACTTCTTTAATTAAATATTGGTTTGAATATAAAAAAAGTGTATATGTATCATGATTTAAATTAATTTTTTAAAATTTATGAATAATTCACTTACAAAAATAAAAAAGAAAAAGGCTTCATTAAATGGGTGTCTCTCTTTATAAGTACGATTTGATAAAATTTTTTAATAATAATTAAATTTGAAAATTCTAATTCGTTTCACATTAACAATTTAAAATTTCAATTTAAAATCACATCTAATCAAAAATAAAAGCTATTCAATAAATAATTCATAATGAATTAAAAAAAAAAAACAAATTAAAGCCTTCTTTCGTGAAAAGAGTGAATCAAAATTAATAAATCTATAACTACAAATATATGTTTAATTAAAAATTTAACTTCGAATGAATGTAAACGAAATATCTAAATTATAATTATTAACAATTAACTTATTTTTACAATGAACATAAATTTAAAATTAATATGTCATTTTTTTACTACTTTAACACATTGTTTTGTTATTGAAAATTATAAATATTTCAAATTCTGTCTAACTATTATTCTTTTTCTTATTTTAATAATTGAAATGTAGAAAAACCCAGTTTCTCTTTTTAGTCTCTGGTGTGGTCCATTCACAACATAATAAATAATATATCATAATTCTTTCAATACTCCAAAAAAAGAAAATTTTGCTAAACGCAAAAAAAATTACCATTTTTTGTTTTTTAGCATTACAATACTTTGAGAACTAAGATAAAGATTAAATTAACTAAAAAATTTTTTTATATTCGAAAAGCATTGAAATAAAACCTTAATTTCTTGATTGCTTCTTTTTTTGTTTGTAATTTATTGGAAATTAATTACTCTCAAATAGTTTTTTTTACTGTTAATAATATTTTTATATGTTTACTTAAAAAATCTATTAAATTCTATTTTTTCTTTGCTTAGCCATTTTGCAGATAAATTTATAAATTCAAATATCCCAAAACAAAGTAACATTTTCTTAAAAACTACATACTAAATTTTTTTCGTATTTTTTTTAGTGTTTATAAACATATACTATTTAAATTTTTAATGTTTTCAATTAAATATGTTAAAGAACTCATTAATTTTTTTAGTGTTATGCATATACAAATCGGAATATCATTACTTTAATTAGACAAATAAAAATCTTTTTAAATGAAAGAACATATCAAAATAGAAAGTACTTATTACAAAAATTAAGAGAAATCAGTTTTTGATTCATAGATCATTAATCCATGCAATATACACAGGACGATTCAGCTAAGAGTACAATATTATATATTATTGATTACGGCATCAAAAATTGGTAAATATTTGTTTAGAACCGAAAGAGATTGAGGCTTCAAATGAACAGTTTTTGAATATACATTATACTTATACACTATATATATTTACAGTATAAATATACAGGGTGTTTCGCATAAAATGACAAATGTTTCAGGAATGAATATTTGATCAATTTGCAGCAAAAATTATGTCGGATTGGAGGCGGGCATCGAAAAAATAAAAAAATTTAAAAACAAAACAAATATTCTGGTTTTGACGAGCTTTACTTCGAAAACTATTGATTAAATCAAATTGATTGTAAAACCGAAAATAAAGAGCGATGAATCACCAGTGAGTACCAGCAAAGTAGCTCCCGATGGTTGCTCCATGCTACACGATTCTGAATTTATAAGTATTTGTTTATATGCAGCAGAAATCTGGCACCTTCTTTTCTCAAAAGGCTTTAGCTCGAAAACGAGTACATCTGCACACCTAAAATTATTTGAAACCTTATGCGAAACACGATATATATAATTATATATATTGCAAATATGCATATATATGTACATGTTGTTATATGCATTGTAAATATATACATATATATTTTATATATATATATATATATATATATATATATATATATATATATATATATTATATATATTATATATATATATATATATATTATATATATTATATATATATATATATATATATATATATATATATATATATATTATATATATTATATATATATATATATATATATATTATATATATTATATATATATATATATATATATATATATATATATAATATATATTATATATATATATATATATATATATATATATATATAATATATATTATATATATATATATATTATATATATATAATATATAATATATATTATATATATATTTATATATATATATATATATATATATTTTTACAGGGGGATTTAAATTTTTAAAAAAAATGTATACGCATAATCACTGTATAGCTTATATTTATATATATATACATACGTGTGTTGAATTTATGTATTTACACACACATATATGATAACTTTTCTTTCTTACCATTTTAATTTTTTTTTGTTTAATAAAATATTTTAATATTTTATTACATATTACATGATTTATTATTATTATTGATTTTTCTTATATTTAATTTTTTTTTAAATCTATAAAATTTTTTAATTCTCTTTTTTGTTGTTTCTTTGTTTATTCACTGTTTTATATTTAAAAAAACAAAGATATTTTAATTAATTTTTACCATTATTCTCCCTCTTACTTTATTCTTTATTTCCCCCCTCTTTTAATTTGTTGTTGCTGTTGTAGTTTTTCAGTGGTATTAAATAAAAATTATCGGTTTCCTTTAATCGTACAGACAAAACAAGAAAAAAAAACAAAGTTTTTCGCAAACACTTAGTTTTTTTTCTTTAATAGAATGCTCAGATTAAGAATTTTATTGTTGAACTGTTTCTGCAGCTGGTTGAACAAAATGATAATACGCTGCTGTCGATGGATATTGACCATATGAAGCTTAAAAAACAAAAGAAATAGAACAAACAAAAATTATTATATTTAAATGAAGCTTAAAAAAAAACGAAACCAATGAAAATACATAATTATATTTTTTCAATTCCAAACTAAAAAATGGTTTAAAAATATTAAAACAAAAGCAATAAACTAATTGTAAAAGTACAATCTGTAAATAAAAAAAGCCGATGAACCACCAAAGGCCGAAAATTGTTTTAAATTAATTCTATATACTTTTCTTACCAGCGTTCCTATATTGCCAGGTTTATCTGATTTTTCCGATTTTTAAAGGTCTATCAAATCGACTAGATTTCTTACCCAAAATATCAGATTTTTCACTTGGGCTAATATGCCAGATCTGACAAATCACTTTGAATTTTTTGTTTTGTGAAGTATTATTAATAAAAAGTAAGTATATAAAACAATTAATTTTAAATCTGGGATTGACACCTACGTTACATTGAAACCAGATAATAATTACATTAATGAGAATTCCAAATAATATAATTAAATTACTGTTTTATAATATAATAATTATAATATATTTAATTGTTTTTTGACTAATCAAATACTGATTTTGATATTGCTTGTGAAGTGTGGTTGAATTTATTATGGACATACAAATGAATAGAAAATTCAAACCAGCAAAAATTATACTTAAAAAAATAATTTGATTCAAATTTTTTTTTTTGAAATTAAACTGTAAATGGTTTTTGATAAAAATAAGCTATGTGACAATAAAGGGGTGCTCAAATTAAATATAAAAGCTTTGCAGATTTCCTGTCAAATCAATATGGTTACGCTGTTTCTTATTTAAAAACCGTAAGAAAAGATTGGTAGCCTTCTGACCTTCAGACGGTTCCCAATAGCTAACGTATAACACGTTTTGGGTAATAAATCCATATATGTATATAATTGTATCTATATTATACAGAGCAAAACTTTTAATTTTGTTTTTTTTTTATGTTACTTATAACATAATAAATTATGATCACGTTAACTTTATTATAAAGAAAAAAATTACTATTTCTAATTTTTTTTTATTTAATTTATTACCCATAACATTCTGCATTCCAACTTGTGTATCAATCATATATGGTGGAATTGCAGGAGCTGCGGGGGCAGCTTGATGATTATTACCTCCAGTTTGAAGTGTTTTAGAAGCATTGGCTGGAGTTATTTGCGTTGGAGAAATACCACCACTAAAATTTTGTTGTACATGCTGTTGCTGTTGATTTTTATTTTCACCACCAGATATATTTGTTGTTGCAACGGTTTCTGTTTTATTAGGACTCATACTAGGGGGTGAAGAAGATTGTGGTGAGTAGTTTTGTTCACTATTTTGTTGATTATTATTTGTAATACCATCATTATTATTTTCAATTGTATTTATTATATCACCACGTTTATTATTATTATTATTACTATTGTTATAGTTTTGTGTTGAATATTGTTGTTGATAATTTCCATGAATTTCATTACGTTTTTTATTATTAAAATTTCCGCCACTATGATGTTGTTGCACTTGTTGTATATAAGGAGGACTCATAGCACCATTATTATTCATTTGATTAAAATTTGAATTAAATTCCATATTATTTGTATTATAACGTGAATAAATACCATTATTTTGACGATTATTATAGTGGAATACTTTTTGGAATTGATAATTTTGATTAACTTGTTCATTTCCATTCATAAAATTTGGTGATTGTTCAATATTGAAATTTTTATTAAAATTCTCTCTTTTATTTATACGTGGTCGAAAAAACTTTCCCCCGTCACCAATTTTATTTTGTTTTTGATCATCAATAGATTTTGAATTTAAGTTATCTGATCCATTTGGATTATTTCGCCACACAGGCTTCTGATTTGAATACACATTTTGTTCATTAACATTATATGTGCCATTATTCATTTGAGAATTTGGACCATTGTATGATCTTGGATTATTCCATTGTTTTTGTGACAAATATGTATTACCTTGATAGTTTATATTTGGTTTTTGTTGTTGATCCATTCTATTTTTGTCTGTTTGCCAATTCTTCTTCACCATTCCATTCATCATATTACTATTCATATTAGGTCGTACCTTTCCATTATTGCCAATAAGACGTGCTAAATCTAAAAGCTTTTGCGGTGGTTTTTGACCAGATTCACCCAAAACAGCTAACAATTCCTTAGCTTGTTTAGCATTTCCTGGAGTAAAGAATGTATAAGATGTACCCAATTGTTGGCAACGACCGGTTCGACCTGGGGAAATAATATATAAAATATAATATAAATACTTTATAAAAATAATTTTTTTTTCTTGATTCAGTTCTTACCGATACGATGAATATAATCTTCGGAAGAATTTGGATAATCATAATTAACCACATATCTTACGTCTTCCACATCTAAACCGCGAGCTGCAACATCAGTTGCAACTAAAATTACAGATTTTCCATTACGAAAATCTTGTAAAACTAGATCTCTTTCCGCTTGAGATTTATCCCCATGAATTGATGTTGCTACAAAATTTTCGCGACGAATCGTTTTTAAAATGTCTTCAACCTTCTTTTTGGTTTCAACAAAAATAATAACCTTACTGGTAATGTCTGATGCAATATCCTTTAATAATTGAACTAATTTTGCTTCCTTTTCTTCTTCGGAGCAAACCTCAATCATTTGGCGAATATTTTGATTAGCTGATAAATTCAGTGATCCAATGTTGATTTGAATATAATCATTCAAAAAGTCTTCAGCTAAAGCTTGAACTTCTTTTGGCCACGTCGCGCTCCACATTAATACTTGACGATCTGGACGTATTTGTTCGATTATTTTACGTATTTGTGGTTCAAATCCCATGTCAAGCATACGATCAGCCTCATCTAAAACTAAATAAGTGCAGCGTTTCAAATTTGTTATGCCTTTTTCAAGGAAGTCAATCAATCTGCCAGGTGTGGCTATAACAACTTCAACGCCACGTTCTAAATCTCTGGCTTGAGGCATTTTTGGTGACCCACCAAATATACAAGTATGACGAATTATAGGTCGAGAAGTACAACCATAATCACGTGTCACAGTTTGAATTTGTTGAGCAAGTTCTCTTGTTGGTGCTAATACTAACACAATTGGTCCTTCTCCACGAGTTGCCCGTGGTTGATGTGATATATGAACCATAGCTGGTAACATATAAGCCAATGTTTTTCCAGATCCTGTTTGAGCTATTCCCACCAAATCACGACCAGATAATGCAATAGGCCAACCTTGGGACTGAATTGCAGTAGGCTTCAAAAATCCTTGTTTCTTCATTTCAGTAACCACATTGTCTGGTAAGCAAGCTTCTTCAAAATTCATATTAGGTTTTGGTACCGAATTTCCAATTACTGTTATTTCTAAATCAGTACGCATATCGGTGACATCATTTTCAGTTAATGCTGAAGTTTTTGGGTGTGCAACTAAAAAGTTTTTTTGGAAAGGCTTAAGATTTTCCCAAATTGGTTTAATTAAATTTTTTCCTGGATTTTTAGCTTTATCGCTTTGAATTTTGGCGCGTTCTTCTTTTGACATTATACCTAAAGGTATTTGATTTTTATTCATGCTTGCATAATGATTTTGCTGTTGCCTTTTTTGAAGTTCGTTTTCTTGTGATGATTGATCACCCTCATCGTTGTCATTATTTTTATATTTATTTATATCTATCCCATTTTGCATACCAGCATTAGTACCAATACCATTATTATTAAATTTATTTGATTTGTTTGGCACGAAACCAAGTTTTCTGTTCTGATAATTAATATTTTGATACATATTTCCACCATTTGGTCCACCATTCATATTTGATTTCATATTATAATTAGGCGGTGGACCACCACAACCGCCACCAGGAACAATATGCTGTCTGCCACGGTTCATTGGACTCGATTTTTGAAAATTTCCCATTACATTCGAATAATCTGAATAGCCGTTACGTCGTTGATTTTGTGGATTCATAAAATCAACATAACCTCCGGGTTGGTTACCATTTTGATAAATTATTGGATTAAACATAGATCCATTTTGCATATTCGCGTCTGATAAACCAGGATTCATATTTGAATTGCGTTGTTGATGTGCTCTATCTGGCCTTGTTTGAAATCTAAATGATATATATATATATATATATATATAAAAATAAAATACCTTAAAAATGTATTTATAATTACGAAATATTTTTTTATAATATACTCGTATGAAATTATGTTGTTTCTTTTACAAAAAGGCGAAAACATTGTAAATAAGTAGAATCTTAAGAAAGTATACCTACAAACTTTCTAGCAGGTTTTGCAGTATAGTTAGTATGCATATGCAATATACTTTTTGAACAATGAAAACTACTAAGGAATTTTGAGCAACAACTTTTTTTTGTTCAAATATTTTTTCGAAATTTTAATTTTGTATAAAAATTTGAAATTCTTTTTATTTTAATTCAATAACAAAATTTATTTGAAAACTAAGTCACAAATTTTTATTTAAAAAAAAAAAAAAAAAAAAAAAAAAAAAATAGGTATACATACATACCTATCCCATGATAAAGGTCTATTCATTTTTTTTTTTTTTTTCAAGAATTGCCGTGGTGCCCACCATGGTCATTATGATACACACCATATATACACATATATCATACATATGTATATGAATTTATTCGAATAAACACAATACATAATATTATATGTATACGCAATATAGATAAATATATATATATCTATATATATAAATATGTATATATATATATATGTATGTATATATATATATATATATAAATATATATATCTACATATGTGCACAATTACATACACCTTGCAAGCGCATCGAAAAATGTAAGTGCTAGATTTAGATTGTAGCTGCTTTACACATTTCACAAACTTAGAAATACGGGAACTTATTGAGTAGAAATTAATGGTAGAAAAAATAATTTCACAATAATTTTGAATAAAGAATTAAATAAAAACTTACCATGAAACTTCACAGTAATTATCAAAAAATTAAATAAAAAAAACTTACACCATACTACCATGTTGGTGAAACATTTTCCCTCCTTTTTTTTCTTTTTCTTTTTGAATAAGATTCCGGCTCTTAGTTTTCTGTAAAAAGAGAAAAGAAATCTTATATTAGAACTGATTTTTTGATATTTTAGAATTTTAATACTTTTCACTTTTTTTTCGCTCCCTATACAATTGACGTGAATCCAATTGTGTTGTATTTTTTTACTTTTTGCTTGTTGTTTTTTTTTTTTCTTTTTTGCTGTACTACACAAAATACGGTGTTTTAATTTTTTTTTCCAAACACAAATTCGAAAGAAAAAAGCTTTTACTTTTGGTTTTTTTCTTTTAGTTTTTCTATTATTTTTATTTTTTTACTGTTCCTTTTTTACTTCTTTTTTTTTTCAAGTCTCAAAATTAATTCAAATTAATTTTGCCACACTGAAATTAAATTTTTTTTATAGAATCTGCAATTATACAAAAAAAAAAGCAAAATAAGAACTTAAATTAAAACACATGAAAAACTTTAATTTTTTTTCAAACGGAAAATTTGCTTAACATGATTTAAAAAAAAAAAAAAAAAAAAAAAAACTCCATTATGTTACAAACTCGCATTGCATTTACAGTTTTCCACATAGAAAAACGAAAAACAGAAAAAACACAAAAAAAAAAAAAAAAATAGGCCAATTTATATATAAGAAAAAAAATCAGCCATTTTATTGTAGCGAAGTGCTTTTTCCTTGTCTTTTCAGTAAAATTTTATGGAAATTTTAATCACTTAATTAAAATTTTAACAAATTTATAAATTTAGAACACAAAAATCTATTTTTTATTTTTCATATTTGTAAAATTTTCTAATAAAAATTTTCTCTTACAATTACTTATATTTTTTTCTTTTTTTTTTTCCTTTTCTACAGCAAAAAAAAATTATTATTCCACAACTGTGAACAACGTGAATTGTACTACTACTACACGACTAGACAAAAAATCAAAATGATACCTCATAAAAATTTTTCAACTAAAAATTATGATAGTGCTGCCATATACAAAAAAAACCCTTTTGTAATTTTTTATTATAATGTGAGAATAAAGTGCTAATAAAAATGAACGTGTCAGGAACACATAATATTATTAAAGACATATTATTGTAAGTAATTTTGTTTTATAGACACCAAATAGATGCGTTAATCATATTGTTTTAAATTTTAAATCAGCTAATATATTTGTTATTGTAAACTTGAAAAAACTCGTATTGACGTGTCTTGACAATTCAAAATTTAATAAAAATATCTAAATTGTTTTCACGCGTTCATTTTGATTGAACACATTTATTTCTTTTTGAATTTTTAATGTACTGACATAATCATTTTATTTACCACTTAACACAGTTCATAATTAATGATGAAAGTTAACAAAGCTTTACAGGAGCGCAAGTTTCTGGACAACAACATCAACAATTTAACGATGCCGAATGCATCGGTCGGAAAACTGGTTTGTCTATCATAAATTAACAAGGTAAAGGAGCAGTTCGCTAAGTGGTTTGTTGAAAGATTTGAGGAAATGGATTTTCGTTTAGGTTCGCTTCAAAATAGGGAGGAATTCATAGAAACAACGAAAACCTTAACAATTGAACCCGATGAATTAATGGTTTCGTTCGATGTTAGAGCGCTTTTTTCTAGAATTCCAGTTAACGAAACGCTAGTATATTTAAAGGTATGGTTATCAACGCAACACAAAGTAAAAGAATGCCACAAATTAGCAAGACTTTGTATGGACGAGCATAACTTCAAGTTTAGAAACAATATGTACAAAAGAAAATCGCAGGTATCGATGCAAAATCTACTTTCAGCATGTATTGCTGAACTATTTATGTCGAATTTAGAAAAAAAGATGGATGAGGGGTGTCCAGAGGATGCTTCTTAATTATTGCGTACATCATTTTTTCCCTTTTTCTTTTTATCTAGTTACGAGATTTGATTAATAATCAACCATTACTAACAAATTATAATTTAGTTCTAGTAATAAAAAAAATATCTCTTTTTAGTTCTAAAAATAAAATGAAAGATCTATGGTACCGAGACATATTAAAATGTAAAAGAAATCTAGTTGTCAAGTCCATAAAGGCTCTTTTTTAAAGTGTCCTTCATTATTGTAACTTCTTAATCTTTACATTTATTCCCAAGACGCAGCATTCTGTCTACCGGCTCGTGCATACCATAATTAGCCCTATGAAAGGGTACTACAAAAAGATTCGGCCAGCAAGATCTAACATTAGTGTTAATGCTTATACTCAGAGTGTCGGCCGACATGAGTTGCGATTTCAAAATACTATTTTAGATTTATTATCATAAGTGGTAAAAGATTCCATACTACATTTATGACTCGTAGTTGAATACACAACGTATTAAGTTAAAATAAACTTAATAATAGGTCACAATGAAAAAATTTTAATTATAACTTAAATTTTTTTTTTAATTATTATGTGTTCTAATTTTTTCATTTTTATTTTCTTTTTTATTATGCAATATTTTAGTAGGTACGTTTATTTTAAATTATTTGATTAAAAGTGTGACCGTAAACAAATTTTGCTGACCTAACGAATTGTAATAAAAAAAGAAATATTCACTTTTGATAGTTAAAACTTTTAAATATTTTTATATTTTTCTTGCGATGAAATGAAATCCTGTCCGTTCTTATTGAGTAGAAATTTATGAATTTTCAGAAATTCATAAATTTATGAAAATTAAATCATCAAATTACATACAAACATCGAAATTACTACGAAATTGAGGGGAATGTAGTTTTACCTTTGTTGGATATAATTGTAAAAGGAAAATCAGAAAAAATTGGATTCAACATATACAAGAAGAAAACAACCACACAAAAATGAACCCCGAAAGCATAAAATGACTACAGTGATATATACACAGGAGTTTAAAGCAGAAATAAACTTCATGTTGGATACGACTGTGAAAAACGGCTATTCCGTTAACAAACTCGTTAGGAGGAAAAAACAAAAAATTTAACTGGAACTGTTTATTGGAATGAAAAAGAATAACGTTCGCATCTTTAACTTATGATCATTCCTCTACGAATTTGATAAACAAATAACTAAAGAAACATAATATTCAGACACCGGAAACCAACAGTAAATGCCAACTTAGCAACTTGTTATATTTGGTTAAGACAGATTGAAGAAGCATGAAAGATGCGCTGTATTCAAAATCGAATGAAATGATTGCAACAAATTTTACATAGGCAAAACGAACAGACCTCTTACAATAAGGCTTAATTAACATTTAAGTGTGGTTAATTCAATGGTTGCAAAACATATTTACGAAACGGATCACATAATTACGGAAGACAACTTGAATATATTAAAAGAGGTAAAAAGAAAACATGGAACAAAAGCTCATGAAAGCAGTACATACAAGCATGGGCTACCACAGACGAAAGTAACGCGGCTAGTTGGCGCTTCAAATCAATTGTGTGACCAGTTTTAAGGATTAAATTTTATTAATATAATTATTTAATTTTATTAATAATGTTATAATTTTATTTTAGAATTAATATTAAAAGAAATAGATTAGGTCAGTTATAAAGTTAAGTTAAATCATGTATAATATTTCAATAGGGTTTAATTTTAATTTTTGTTGTTAAAATGAGATGAAAATCAACTTTGATAAAGTACGCATGTAGTGTATTTTATTCCAAATAAGAGCAAGTTTTCTTTTCATACACCTAATAAAGAAGAAAAATTTTATATTTCGGAAAAATATCAACAATTTCAATGAAATATTTTTTGAAGACATGCAATTTTTAGCTTAGTTTACATGCAATTAAGCAATCAAACAGTTTGTTTTTTTTTTTTTTTTTAGAAACTGATTAAATTTTTTATTCAACATATTCGATTTGAATTCAAGCAACAATTTAATTGGTTAGATGAGCATGCAACGATTATACAATCAAGTAGCAATTGTAAAACTAAAAATTGCATATCTGTCTGAGTCCCTAAAAAATTTAAAATTATTATCACAAGTGACGAATATAACTATCTGTCAAACGACTACTTGAATGTAATTGAAAAATTTATGTATTTTCAGAAAAGCTAAAAAATATGTTAGTATGGCAACGATATGAAAATTGAATTAAAAAATGACAAGACGGCCATTATAGAAATTCTTTTTTGTATGGATACACACACAAATACGTGCTACATACAAATATGCACACGTACGTGAAATTGAAATTCCTTTTGCAAAATTTTTAAGAATATTTTTTAATTAACATTAAAATTTTATTGTTCCAGTAAAATGCCATTTTTTTTCTGAATTCTTTATTCAGATGAATATGCTCCAATAACGCTTTGATATTTAATGTACAAGTTAAAATATGTCTGCAGAAGTACTTAAAATATGTCTGTATGTATGTATGTATAATTAATATACCTACATAGAGGATTTAAACGGAAATGCCAAATGCTAATCAACATCTTGATTTAAATTGACATACAATTTTATATGGGTAAGTTTATTTATTTTCTACAAGTACATATATACATACGAATGTACATGTACAGTTACGCTTACAGACAGTAATACGAACGTCGATGTTAAAATTCTAGAATTTTCTGCTCATAAATAATTTATGATTGTGCCAATTGCGGCATTATTCAGCATGGATTACATTTTTGCATATTATGTTATTTTTAGCATTTGCGCGAGGGGGCCAACATGTTTTTGAAATATGGTCCAAATGCACAATTACTTTACGTTTGTAAATATGTATGTATGTAATTAGGCGCCTCTAAGTTTTAAGGAATTAGTTATAGGTGTGGAAACACCGTAAAATATCTACATATGCATATCGAAATTAACTGTATTGTAATTTTATGCTTATGCACCTATGTATGTACATAAGTATGTAAATACGAACATATTGATTTAATTTGATAAAATGGGGAATTTACACATTAGACAATTTTTTAAAATTGCGCTGTATGTAATTTTTTGTTTATTTAATAAAGTCAGAATACGACTTAAATCATAAATTCCAGAAAAAGAATATTGTAATATCTGCTTAAATGTGTCTAAAAAATCCAAATCCAAATTTTGTAGGCACTTAACCAAGTACAGATTTTAACCGAACCCGCACAGAACTGCAGAAATAAAAGCAACTAAACGGGTTTTCAATAATGTTTAACACATTATCCAAAATATTAAAGTAAAGATGTAATTATAACGTTTTTTTTTTAATATGTATTTTTTATTTCATTATAATATCATTAGACTTACGCGCACTCTATCTCTATGAAAACAATTTTATTTAACTTTTTTGTATGTTGAAAAAAATTTTTTGTTTCGTTTGTGTCTGAGGCAGCAAAGCGATTAGTTTTAGAACAAATTGAGAAAAATGCACTTAGACGATTTGCGCAGTTATAAGAAACGCAATTAACCGATTTTTTTGACGTTAAATGTAATGGAGAAAGTAAAGGTTCTAAACCGTAAAGGCACTTAAACGGAAAACACAGTTAAGCATAGACCAGCTAAACGAGTACTTGTATTTCTATATAGAGATTTTTTCCCATTCTTCTTCTATTTCTTGTCAACAAAACAAAAAAAAATTAATGTGTAAAACCAAAAATTTCTAACTTCATATGCATTTTATGCGACGAACAAAATATTCGAGAATCGATTCTCGGTTTTTTATTTGAAGTTAAAGTGTCTTTCAAACACGACTGACAAAAAGACAGGTCTCAACCCTAAGAGAGAGTGACAGCTCACGAATTTCAATTTACACGTATTCCTATGGAAGGAATAGTAGGGCCCTTTTTTACATGATAAATGTCCCACAAAATCAACTTTTTTCAAATTTTTAATAAGAAAAAGTTAAAATTCAAACTTTTTCTACTTTACTAGTGCTTACCAAAGTATATCTATTAATAAGTAGTTCGACTCTCCGTTTACATCACAATGCAATTCTCACCAATATTTGTATACAAAAAATTCCCTTAGCTAAAAGAGTTA